CTCTCTATGGAGTCCTAGGTTCAGGGAGAGATGCAGTCTCAATCTATAAAGCAGAGAGTGATCAAGGAAGACTCCCAACCTCTGCCTTGGATTTCCATGTATCCATGCACACACGTGAACCCACACCTATACATGAACTTACCACACATACATACACAAAGAAGAACGATAGAAAACACTGACAAATACAAACCCAGATTGGTGGTCTCCAGGCATGTCAAGCATGAAAGTTTATGTTGATGATTATTATAAACATGAGTCATACATGATCTTTAAACTGGAAATAAGTTGAGAGTGGTAGTACATAACTTTAGGCCCAGTATTCAGGACGCATAGGCAGATTATATTTCTATGAGTTTGAGGCCAGCCTGGTCTATATGTTAAGTTCCAGGATAGCCCTGCTATATAGTGAGACTCTGCCTCAAAAAAAATTAAAAATAAAAACAAAATAAAAAAACAAAACTAGCTGGGCAGTGGTGTGCACACCTTTAATCCCAGCACTTGGGAGGCAGAGGCAGGTGGATTTTTGAGTTCGAGGCCAGCCTGGTCTACAGAGTGAGTTCCAGGACAGCCAGGGCTACACAGAGAAACCCTGTCTTGAAAAAAAAAGAAAGAAAGAAAGAAAGAAAGAAAGAAAGAAAGAAAGAAAGAAAGAAAGAAAGGAAAAAAACAAAACTAAACTAGAAATAATTCAATTCAGAGGCCTTATAGTCAGTCTTATTTTAGTGTTTTGTCTTATTTAGTTTTGTGATTTGATTTATACTTTGGCTTTGTTTAGTAGTATCTATGTAGAATAGCCTTCTTTTGTGTTAAATTTTGCGTGAATTGGTCCTAATCTATAGAAAAAGAAAAGGAAATTATATAGCTAAGAGAATGTTATGCAACTACGCTTGAAGAAATCCTAACAGCATTTCTGGTGTATTTGTTTAGGTTTGTCCTCAAAAATACCATACTAAGGCAGGGAAAACAAAACTCACCAGACATTCCAACTGGGTATAGCATCAAAGTATGGTGTATGCCTGGAATCCCACACTGGGAAGCAAAGATGGAAAGACTTCTAGGACAGAGAGAGAGATAGCAAACCCTGTCTCAAAAAAAAAAAAAAAAACCCAAAAGACAGAGAGGAGTGGGAGGAGGAAGAGGAGGAGGATGAAAAGGAGGAGAGAGGCATGAAATCAGTGAGACACCTGTAAGTAAATACAAACCTCCTCCATCCTTGGCTCCCCTGCTGTTCCTCCTGAAGTGGGAGAGAAGTTTGACCCAGCAGTTTAAGATCCTGGGCTCTGAAGTCATCCTGACCTAGTTTAAGTCCCCGTTGATGGTTTTGTTTTGTTCTTTTTGTGTTATTATTAAGTTCAAGAATAATTTTTTTAGAGCTTAAGAGAAAAACAACAGGGCAGGCAAGCTGTAGGCTTTGGCAGCTGCCAGAAGGAGAGAGACAGAGCAGAGAAAGGTGCCTTTGAGTTCAGAGCAGAGGTCAGCCATGACAGAGAGCTAAGCCCTGGGAGGGTCCTTAGCAGAAGTGTGAGACAGCACAGAGCATCAGGAAAAAAAGGCAAGTATCTGAAAGAAAGAAAAAGAATAAAAACATGGAAAAAGGAAAAGTTATACTTTGGGTGGGCTGCATGGAAGAGGCTCCACTGGCAACTGCTGTTCTGTGGTTTTCTGAAACAGGGCCTGGCTATGTAGCCCAGGTTGTCTTTGAACTCACCATCCTGCTGCCCCAACCTCCTGAGTGCTGGGATTACAGGCATGAGTCACCATACCCAGCTTAGTCAAGTTCTTGCTTGTCATGTGACCTCAAGGAAGTCTCTTAATTTTTTTCCCTGACACAACACCTCATCTATACAGTGAACTCAGTTATAGTTTCTGTGTGTACATGTAAGACTCAAACTCAAGGCCTACAGTTTTTGTTTTTTATATATTTGTTTTTGACAGAAAGTCTCAGTACTGAGACTAGTCTGGCCTCCAACTCGGAACAGTTCTGTCTCCGTCTCCTCAGAACTGGAATTACAGACTTGTGCCACCATGACCTCAAAATGCACAAATACAAAGAAAGACTGCTCCGGCTGGAGGTCTGTGTGAGTGGAGGGTAGGCATGCAAACTGAGAGCTGGGAGGGGCTGGCCAAGCTGGACTGTGTAGATCACAGTAAGTAGCAAGATTTTTTTTTTTTTCTCAAAGGATGCCCAAGATCGGGAATGGTGAGGAATTGTCTTTTATCTTAGCAGTAGAGAGGCAGAGGCAGGCAGATCTTTGTGAGTTTGAAGCCAGCCTGGTCTACACAGAGAGTTCCAGGACAGGCAGGACTATATAGTGAAATTGTATGTATGTATGTATGTATGTATACTACAAAGACACTGACTTTTTTGGGTTTTGGGTTTTTTTTTTAAACATTTATCTATTTACCCATGAGCATGTGTATGGGTGTAAGTAGAGGTTGTATGGGAGTCAGAGAACAACTTGCAGAAATTGATTCGCTCCTCCCTCCATGTGGGTCTTAGGGATTGAACTCAGGTCATCAAGCTTGGAGGCAAGGATCTTCACCTGCGGAGGCATCTTGCTGGCCCTAGGGTGTTGCTTCTCTTTTTCTTTTTTGGTTTTTCGAGACAGGGTTTCTCTATGTAGTCTTGGTTGTCCTGGCTGTAGACCAGGCTGGCCTCGAACTCAGAAATCCGCCTGCCTCTGCCTCCCAAGTGCTGGGATTAAAGGTGTGCACTACCACTGCCCGGCAGGTGTTGTTTTTCAATTGCTAATTAACGCATAGGACTGATGTGTTTGTATATGTACTTTGGGTCTAGTGTCTGGGGGCATCACATTGGTTGTGGGCTCCCTCTGGTGGAGCTGGTGGTTCATGTCAGTAAAAGTAAAAAAAAAAAAAAAAAAAAAAAGAGCAATTAATCTAGCCTTTCATGTACTGGCTGTTTACTATGTAACATATTGTGTTCTATTGGTAAAATACACTCACAAAAAAATGAGCATCTCAACATAGAATCACACCTGTGATTCTAGCATCTGAGAGGAGGAGGCAGAGGAATCAGGAGTTCAAATCCATTCTCAACCATAAATCTAGTTGGGATACAAGACACCTTATCTCAAAAACACTAAACAAAAACCAAACAAAAAAACCCCCAAACCCAAAACAAATAAACAAACACTCCTCCAAACCCCAACCCAAGCCCTTACAGAACTTATATTCTGGTGGGGAGACAGTAAGCCAAACCCGCAAGCAACTTGTTGGACAAATGTCATGAGAACAATTATCAGGGGGTAAGAAAGTACAAGGGAGACAATCATGCTCCCACTTAAAGCACATCGTCAGAGGCGGTCTCCATGAGAAGGCACATTTGAAGCTGTAAAGGGGGTGACAAGGTGAACCATAGAGCTGTATGAGGGAAAAGGAGTATGAGGGAAAAGCACTCCGGGCAGAGGGAGTAGAAAGCAGACAGCACCCGAGCCTACCTGCAGGCTGGAAGAACAACAGAGGCCAGTGTGTCTTAAGTGGAAGGAAGACAAGATAAAGCAGGTTAGAGTTCTACCCTGCCGAGTTAAGTCTTCTGGGTCCTGTAGTCAATGTAATGATTTTGACATTCACACTGAGACAGAGCCATTGGAAGAAGTACGTGATTTGATTAAGGCTTTCACAAGAGGCTTCTGCTTCTGTGTTGAGTATAGGGTAGCAAGCATATAAGACACTCAGAATTACATATTGACTGGTTTATACCAACGCAGGTGGAAAATAGTCCGATTCTGCAAAGACTTTGAAGACAGCATCTACTAATTGTGCTAATTAGGTGTGATTTATGAGAAAGAGCGGTTAAGAAGCTTCCCAAAAGTAGTTGCTTAGGAAACTGTTGAAATAGAAGCAGCTAATAAAAATCTTTTGTTTTTATTTGTAATGAAAAGCTAGGTTTTCGTTTTTCAACTTTGTGGTTAATCTAATATTGTATTTGTGATTCCAGGTCTTTTTCCTTGAGGGTCTTTCCCTTCTGAGATTGAATACACTGAAGACTACACAAAACCTGTTTTCAACTCCATTCCTCATCCACACTTGAGTTGTATTTTAAAATTAATGAAGCATTAAACAATGTTTCTGAGCCGAGAAGGTAGATCTCGAAGTTCGAGCCCAGGCTGATCTATAGAGGGGGTTCCAGGTCAAGGTACACAGAGAAAACTTGTCTCGAAAAAACAACATCCCCCCTCCAGCCCCCAAAGCAAAAACAAACAAAAAAAGTTCCTGAAAACAATATTCACAAAATGAAGGCAGCTGCAAGTGTAATACTAGGTGTAAACTAAATTTTCGGATAAAAATGTTCACTTTGAGTTAGCCTTTCAAGTGTATTCAAAAGCTCCCATCCGGGGCTGGAGAGATGGCTCAGTGGTTAAGAGCACTGACTGCTCTTTCAGAGGTCCTGAGTTCAAATCCCAGCAACCACATGGTGGCTTACAACCATCCGTAATGAGATTCGCTGCCCTCTTCTGGTGTGTCTGAAGACAGCTACAGTGTATTCATATATAATAAATAAATAAATCTTTAAAAAAAAAAAAAAAGTTCCCATCCATTCCTCCTCTTCTAGCTTTTCTAAGTCGACCAACTGCAGTGAATATTTTTCAACCTCGCTGTCCCTTTACGGTAGGAATCACACACATTTTTTAGAACTTACTTTCACAGATGAGAGCGGTAGCTGGGTATGGCGGCACAAGCCTGTTCTACAAGCCCTAGGCTGAAGGAAGAGGATCCTGAGTTCGAGACCAGCCTGAGCAGGACTTTGTTTTGGGGAGGGGAAAGGGCAAGGAAAGGAGGTCGGGAGTACTTTTCACGAAGGCGGCCGCAGCTTGGCAGCACCGGCATCCTGAGACGCACACACGCCTCGGACTGCGAGGTGGGCGGGGCCTAGGCCTTGCCCCGCCCCGAGAAGCCAGCCGGGTACTCGGGGTTCTGGCGGAACGGGGTGTGGATTGTTAGGAGGCCCCCGTATATCTACTTCCGGTTCCTAGGGACGCGCATCCGGGTCACGCTAACGCCGCGGTTTCCGCCACTCTGTTGGTTCCAGAGAGGGTCCGAAGTGGTCCCATGTCGTGCTGTGGAGCGTCTGCAGCCGTCTGGTGAGTCTCCGCCGCCGCCACGGTGTGAGCGCGGCGGCTCGGGTGCAGCCTTCAGGGCTCCGACTGAAGAGTTCCTCCCCGGTCGTACTGGCTAGGGGTCCCTTTGCCGTTTCCTCGTCCCTGCCGGTCTGCCCTCGAGGATTTTCCGTCGCTCTGGCCTCGCCCCTTCTCACCTCAGCGCCCTGTCTCTGCCTCCGCTTCTCTTAGCACTTCCTCCGGACCCGTGTGTTGCGAGCCCACTGTTCTCCCATCCGGGACGTTGGGGTTCAGCTCCGCCCCCAGTTCGCTTCACCTGTGACCCTTCCCCCCTCCAGGGACTAGTAGATGACACGAGTGTTTTGCCTGCCTTTTCGGAGCGAGGGGAGGGCTTCTTCAAAGTCTAGATCCGGGCCGACTTCTCCAGGGGCAAGTTCTGCCTTGAGGTTAGACTTGAGGTCGCTTCCCTAGTTAGAGAACAACAAAGGCGTTCCCAGTTCCTCGCTCTCCCTCAGTTTGCTGGGCTCTCTGAGCAGCAGCGAACAGGTGGCGGGCTCGCCGTCGGGCTTGTGTGATCCCCTAAATTGACAGGTCTTCGTCCTGTCCTGTTTTGTGTCCTCTGTCCCACGAGAATGAATATGCACAGCTGAGGCAAAAATGCGGATGTTCTGCCCTCTGCATGGATTTAAAGTTAGAGGACTCCGGGTTTATAAACTTTTAAAACATTTTTAGTATGGTGTTGCTGTTTCCTGCCAAAATTCACCACTGTAGCATAGTTTTCCGAATAAGACAGACATTATTTCTTAGAACATTCTTTTTAACTTCTTTTTCTTTAGCCTTGCTACCATGGTTTAGAAATCATGATCTTCTCATTTTAAAACTTAAGACATATTATCTTACCTTACATTTTCTGGAGGTTTTAAGGCATCTATAATGTGAAAAGGGTTAGACTAAATAATGGTTAATGTCCTGTTTCTCAAATTTTGTGATCTAAGGTATATCTAGAGGTACAACTTTGGATGCTCTTTTTTTCTCCTCCCTTCAGTTTTTTGGGTGTTTGTAGCATTTTCTTGTAACCGCCATTTTCTTTTGTGTGTGATCAGTCTAAAATTCAGTATTAATAATTCAATATGAACAGAACAAATCCTGTGTTTATTATTGGTTTCTCTTGGCGCAGTTCTCTCTCATATACAGATAGGAGAGTATAGCATAGTCTGGCGTATTCCAAAATTGGGCTGCTCCCTCCACCTATTTTTAGCAAAGAACTTTGGAGCTTGGCCATGTTAGTCCTAGATGCCACAGAGAAAGACCCTTCTGGTTGGTTTTCAGGATTAACGTGCTGAGCCCCTATGAACATTTATCTGTCCTCCCGTGCGTGCACCTCCACCGACTGGAAAGAGTTGCCTTTGTTCAGCCTGACCTCCTCATTTCCCAGCAGCAACCCCAGTAACCGTGGCAGCTCTATTGGCTTCTTTACATCGAGGTTTGGCAAATACTTCATTTTTATGTATATAGTTGGTGCACAACTTTCAACTTCTGTTTCATTCCTGAACTTTATGTCCCTTTCCTCCCCTCTATTACCTTTGTTCCCTCCTTCCCTCTGTTTTTGTGGTGGGTTTTGACCCTAGGCTGGCCTGGAACTTTTGGAATTTGCTATGTAGTAGAAGACGGTGTTGAACTTGTGATCTTCCTGCCTTCTAAACTCTGGGATTACAGGTCTGTGCCATTGTGCTTGATATTTTTGGGGTGGGCAGGGTTGGGTGTTTTGTTTTGTTTCTCTGTATACCTCTGGCTGTCCTGGACTACTTTGTAGACCAGGCTGGCTTTGAACTTACAGAGATCTGCCTGTCTTTGCTTCTGCAGTGCTGGGATTAAAGGCACATACCACCATGCCCGGCCTGTTTGGTTGCTTCTTATGTGTATTTTCAGTCTGAACCTAGTGAGGTTTTTATAGTGTATAGCCAAAGGGAATTTAGAGTTCAGATATACTCCTTCATGGATAATCCAGCTTTAAGAATTAATGATGAGCAAGTTGTGGTGGTACATACCTTTACTCACAAAGTAAAGGCAAAGGCAGATGGACATCTGTGAGTTCCAGGCCAACCTGGTCTGCAAAGTGAGTCCAGGATAGCCAGGTCTCTATTACACAGAGAAATCCTGTCTTAAAAAACAAACAAAAACGATGATATTTTTCTTCTTTTTAAAAAAATTTTTCACCGGGTGGTGGTGGCGCACACCTTTAATCCCAGCCCTTGGGAGGCAGAGGCAGGTGGATTTCTGAGTTCGAGGCCAGCCTGGTCTACAGAGTGAGTTCCAGGACAGCCAGGGCTACACAGAGAAACCCTGTCTCAAAAAACCAAAAAAAGAAAAAAGAAAAAAAAAGAAAAGAAACTGGACTGGAGAGATGGCTCAGCAGTTAAGAGCACTGACTTCTCTTCTGTATGTCCTGAGTTCAATTCTCAGCACGTGGTGGCTCACAACCATCTGTAATGGGATCAGATGCCCTGTTCTGGTATGTCTGAAGACAGCAATAGTGTATTAATATACATAAAAATAAATAAATAATTCTTTAAAGAATTTTTTCTTCTTTTTAATATGAGTGTCTGTTACCCTCAGAGGCCAGAAGAGTGTGTTAGATTTCCTGGAACTAGAGTTACAGATGGTTGTGAGCTACTGTGTTGGTGCTGAGACTCAAACCTTGGTCCTCTGGAAGAATAGCCAATGCTCTTAACCACTGAACCATCTCTCTAGCTCACTAAGATAATTTTTAAAAAAAGGAGTTCTGCACTTGCATTCAGAGTGATGAGATTTTTTTAGTTCTCTGAAAACTGTAGACTAGTGAGCACAGCATAGTATTTAATGGGTGATTTTGATGGATTTAGGTTATAGGAATGAAGGATTAAAAATACATGCGATGGCCAAGCATGGTGGCATGTGCCTTTAGTCTCAGCACTTGGGAAGCATCATTAGGTAGATTATCTGAGTTCCAGGCCAGTCAGAGTTGCATAGTGAGACTTTCCAAAACAAAATTTATAACATGGATTTGTCTTTTAAAAGGGACCAGAGAAACAAACTGTTAATGCAGAATAAGTTAGATTTTTTAAGTGATACTTTCCTGTTGTGATCTATATTCTACATAGAAGCCCCTAAATGAAGTAAAGATTCGATCCTGTCAGTGGAGCATCAGTGTTCATATCCCTGGATGTGGGACAGAACAAGGTAGACTTCCTAGGTACTGAAGAACCTGCCTTTCTTACTTAGCTGCTGTCTTGGTCTGTTCTGTTGATGTGAGGAGACACCATGACTAAAGAAAGTATTAAACTTGGGTCCTGATTACAGTTTTAGAGGGTTACTCCTTGATTATCATGGCCGGAAGCAGATGGGAGAGAGAAAGTGCAGGAGTTCACACTGAGCCTTTTGAAACGTTAAAGCCTACACCCAATGATACACCTTCTTCAACAAGCTCATCCTCCAGCAAGGCCAGACCTACTCCAGCCAGACAACATCTCCCAGTTCTTCCCAGTTTTATTGAGGACCAAGCATTTAAACATATGAGCCTATGGGGGCCATTTGCTTTCAAGCTACCACAGCTACCAACCCTCTAGTCACCAAAGACACTGCTTTTAAAGCTGTAAAGAGAAATCACTGTAGATTTTCTATAGCAATTTTTACCTTATGTTTGTTTCAGTTTTTAAGATTGAGTACTCAATTTAAAAAGCATTTCTGCATGTTTTATACCTACCATGTTTTCTGGTTTTTGCTTGATCATTTTCGGTTTTTATTTTTGTCAACTTACTTCCTGTTGTACTTTGTCACAGTGCTTTGATTTTTTTTTTCCCCATTGAGTACTATGATATTTAAAGGATGATGCAGTTTTAAATATTCAAGAAGCAAAATATACCTCCAACATGTCCTTGCCATTGTACCTTGGTTTTGTGATCTGCCTACTCTTCCTCATGACTTCACTCTCTACTTTTACAAATAAAAGGCTCTCATAAAGCTTTTTAGTAGCTTTAATAGAAGCTTTTTATCTAAAAAATTTTTGTGTATTGCATGCTATTGTAGTCTGTGAAATGGAGGAAGACTAGTTCAAATAGAAATATACCATGTTAGGACTGGGATATTGTTCCATAAATTCACCTAAGTAGTTTATACCAACAGTTGAATTCTATTTATAATGAAATACAAAGAAAAACAGCTGGACTTTATATTCTGATTAACTTAAAAATATAAGTGCCTGTTCCTGTTCCAAATACGTATCTTAAGTCTAAGAAACATGAAATCCTTTATATTAGACAACATAGCACATGATAGAACATACCATCTTGATTTTGTTTGGCACCATCAACCAAATCATAAGGTAGCTAGTTAGTGAATGTAGGCGTGCTTTATTTACATTTAAGCCTGGTAGTGGTCATATACTCCTTTAATCCTAGCACTCAGGAGGCAGAGGCAGGCAAATCTCTGAGTTTGAGGCCAGCCTGGTTTACAGAACGAGTTCCAGAACAGCCAGGGCTACAAAGAGAAACCCTGTCTTGAAAAACAAACAAAATCAGACATTTAAAGCATGGGCCTCATGTTTGTCTTTAATGTTTTTCCCTTTTGAGTGTACAAAATCATTTTAAATCAGAAGAAATCTGTAGTTTAAGTATGACTTTTTTTTTAAGATGGAGACTAACCTCCAACTTCCTGTATAGATGAGGGTGGCCTTGACCTCTTGACCCCCTGCCTCCATCTCCTAAGTGTTGGGATTGTGCCAGTATATGTACCGAATAGTGCTTTATTTTAGAAAACACAAAAAATCAGTGGAATACAGTTAGTATTCAGTTTTTTTTTTTTTTTTTTCAGTTTTTCGAGACAGGGTTTCTCTGTGGGTATTCAGTATCTTAAAGATCCCCTTGTAGACTGTGCTGGATGCACTTTAACTTACTCATTTGGTTAGTATTTATAACAGCCAGATTTTTTTTCCCCCGGTAAAGTAATGAAGAGTAATCTTTGTAGTACAGCTCTTTGAGTGTCTACTT